TTATTATAAGAAGTTATTTAATATTTTTTTAATTATTATTATTGTTTAAGAATATATAACTTTCGCAACTGATCCTGGATATAAATATTTTATATATGTATTTAAATATACACTTATTTCTCAAATAGGATTATACTTTTTAAATGGATAAGATATACACAATAATTTTAATAACACAAAATTAAAAAAAATTGAATATTTATATATATTATTCATATTGGTAAGGATATAGAGTATTTGGAGGACCTATTGTCTAGGCTTATGCTAAATTTTTATGAATTCATAATTTAATTGACCCACACAATAGTATCACTATTGCATTTTATCTCCTTTATGGACCATAATTCCCAACTGATGATATAAAATTTAAAAATAATACAACAGTCTTTAAATTAACTGCAAGCTTTTATTAATCTTATTCTGATGGATCTAAATACGATAAAATATATGAAAGAAAAGTTCATGATACGAATTCCTTAACAATTACTTGTGAATGTTTTGGTTGAAATAATGAGTTGATTTATTATTGTTATTCCTAATTGTAAACCTTATTGTTAAGAATTTTCAGGTTAAAATACATGTTAAACATGGAACAGCACATACTATTAAAATATCGTAAGATTTTTTTAAGAAGAATGTTTAAGTAATCAATATTTTGATATACCTTTAGATGTTTCAATGTAAGCCTGGGTATCATGATTTTTTGAATTTTTGTCAAGGTATTCATTTTAATTATAATTTTAGATTGTCCAACTGCTGTAGATATATCTTTCATTTAATGTTATAAATATTGTAATAATAATTAAATATAGCACAATATTGCTTGGGATATTTATGATTTTGGATTTCAATTAATAGCTGGAGTATGCTAACCTATTTGTGGAGATTTAGAAAAAAAAGGACATGATAATAGTACTAATTTAGATGATTTATGTTATAACTGTTAATTTCAAGGCCCATTTATTGTTTAAATCGTGATTAAACAACTACTTTACCTTGTCCATATATTTGTACAGATCGACTAATTAGAGGAATTGAAGAATGTGAGGATGGAAACACTATTTAATATAATAGATGCATTAATTGTAAATTTTAATGTTAACTTTAATGCACAAAATGTGTTAAAATAAGCGTACGAAGCATATTAATTTGAATTGGATTCAAAACTACATTATCGATCATTATATGTATGCACATTATTTATGATACCAATATCATTATTTTTTTTATTTTCAACACAATTGATGTCCCTTATTAATACGTATGATTCAATTTAACAACAATTAGTTTTATATCAGGAAAGTTTAATCAATATATGGTTGCAGCGGTATATTTAGATGCTATTTTTCACTAAGGCACTAATTAGTGCTTGTGTTTTATGGCGAATTTAGCATCATTTATTTATTAATTTTCGCTATGGTATTTCTATAGTATCTACTTCATTTGTTGGATATGATATGGGAAGAAAAATATAATAATGGCCAAAAAATACACCAAAGCAACTTTTTGATTGTTATGATATTCTTAGTAATTATTCTCTATTTTTGGAAATTTTGATCGAAAAAGTGAGTCATGAAGAAATTGTTCTTAATGAGATAGAGAATTTACTGTATATTCTAGTGTTTTTCATTTTGATAGATGGTAAAAAAAATAACAATTAATATTATAGGATTGTAAGCATTTATTTCTGGTTTGGTCAGAGCAGTTGGTTGAAAATTCAGTGCCTCTATAACATTTGTATTTTGCTAAATTATTTTAGAAGAAGTCGTGGGAGACTTATTATGTAAAACTTTAAATTTGTAATTAAAAAGGGATATGGATTGGAATGATTTTTAAAGCTTTAACATATCATATTATACAATTTATAAATCTAATTTGGAAAACTGGAATGAACAAGTTGAATTTATAGAAAATAATTTTTACCATTGCACTAATAATAAATCCAATTTTAATAGAGTAAGGAGCAAATGTGATAACTTTATTGATATTTTAAATATCTTCAATCAAAAAAAGAAGTTTAATTCAAGAATAATCTTAAATAATTTACTGATATTAATTTAAAAATTGTAAATACAGAGATTTATGTATATAATACTTAAAACTTAGAATTTATAAAATATAAAATAATTTATAATCATTGATGATCATTTGTATGCTAATTTCATTAATTATAGAAAATAAATATTTCTTTTTTTAATAAAAGTATTAAAAAATAGTATATTATTATGATTTTTATTATCCTTAAACTTTTCTTATGTTAGGATATTATTTATGTATATCTTAGCATTGCAATTATTGGTGGGCCATAAATGCGGCTATTTAAGATCCTCTTGTTATTTAATATCGAATGGGGTCTGGCAATTATTTTAATCCTCCTTTTGTTGTTTACTTGGAATACTATTTTTTTAGACATCACCCTCAAGAATATATATAAGAGAAATAATAGATTGATTAGAGATCATCAAGAGGATGAGATTATTAAGTTTTTATAGATTTGATTGATTAAAACGACAATTTATAAATTAATATCAATTAAGCCTATTCAGTAACAGATCCAATCACATCAATATTAGACCGTAGTTTATCTATTTAATCAACTTGTCGAAAAGTATAATATTTAAAGCAAGTTTCGCAGCTCCATTTGAAATTCCAGCTGTTTAGTATAAAGAATAGTTTAAAAATTAAGGGAATGATACTTTGTCTGATTATAAAATAAAAGGTAATATAATACCTATTTATTATTCAAATTGTTATGCTAATATCTTTTACATAGTGTCTACCACAAGAATTTAAATGTTATTTCCGCATTAAGGAATTATATTTTAATGCAAAAACTATCGTTTATCTATAAACAAAAGAAATTTATTTTACATTCCCTGCAGCAATTGCTCTTACTACAGGTTTTTGCAATACACTAAAAATATCTCTTTTGAGAAGTACAGCCTACTATACTAATATTTGAATGAGGATTGTATATGTATAACTCCTTTAACTGTGGCAATACCAAGCACATAATCAACGTTATTAAGTACTTATTTTATTCTATCTTCGGTTGATTATAAATTTATAATTTTTACATAGTTACAAGATATCAGCAGGAAAAATTTTTAATATTGCATTCTTTTAATGTAGGAACTAAATGTAAATGGGTTGACCAATGCGGCATATACAGACGCATGGATTAAATAAATAAATAGAAATATTTGAATGCTCAATAAAAGCGTAATTTTCAAAAGAAGACGATGTGTTAAAACTATAATTTATTGAACATGATTATTTAATTTCAATCAACAAAAATATGATTTATCATCTCATAATATTAAATAAAATACGATCAATTCCCTGAAAATATTTTAACTACGACATTAATTGAAGCTACCGATGCTACTTTTAAATAATGAATTATATATATATATATTATTCTAGAATTTAGCATATCAATGGATGGAATATTAAATTGCAAGAAAACTAGTTAAGGAAGTAATCTAAGATAAGAAAACAACTTTTCCTTTTTTTTGCGGAATACAATATTATTATTTTCTCAGGAATTTGTTTCAAAGTTTTTTTAGATGGTCCTAAAAATTCAAACAATATTCCATTTTGTATTGCCTAAATAAGTATTTTTAATGATTATTGTTAGAAATATTTTGGCTGAGTGATGTTGTTTCTGTCCTGAGTGTAAGTTCTGCTAATATTTAACACTTGAAGAGAATATTCGGAATATTAAAAGTAAGTAGTTCCTCAAGATATAAAGGAGGTTATAAATTCTCTTTCCTCTAAGGTTCCTAAAGAAAAGTCCTTAGATTAAATAGGAAAGTCATGGTTGAAATAAATAATAATAAAGTTTATTGTTAAAGGATATCTTAAAACAATAACATTCAAATTCTCATTTTCAAAGTGTTTTTTCACTATCTTAACTTTAATGCACAAGATTTTTTTAGGTTCACACAATATAAAACGTAATATAAAACTAATAGAAATTCAAAATTTTTTTAAAAATAGGTGCCTTCACCATTTTAAAAATCAAGTAGTAGTTATTTGTATCGCTGATCTCAAATGCTAATACTAAAGGAGACTGTGTGCCGAATGTTAAGATGAACATGGAGGGGATTCTAAATACTTAGTATCCATTAAAAAATTTAAAGAAATGGTGCTCAAGAAATTTTAAGAATCTTGGCTTGGTCTTGATCAGACATCTGTGTTAACAAAATTGAGAATGGCTTTTAAATCTTTGCTATCTCAAATGGAAATTATTCTGAAAAAAATTTCATAAGACTTGTCGAAATCAATCAAAACTATTTTTGACTGGATAGAACAGGAAAATAAATCATATGTTAATCTGATAAATGAAAACAAAAATTTAGCCGAATCCTCATATACTGATTTAGAAAAAATGGTCTCAATCATATAAGGATCAAAATTAAAAGATTGGAATG